AAAAAAAAAAAAAAAAAAAAAAAGAATAAAGGGGGAATAAAGAGGTTTATTTGAATGTCTTAATACATTATTTGAATTTAAGAAGGGAGAAATCCTTTGAAGTGACTCCCTGAGCTTTGAGGGTGATTTTCAATGAGCACCAGGTTGAAACTTGGAAACAGTATCATTCCACTGAGGTTTGTTTGAAAATTTTTTGAACCAAATGGTTGGATTTCTGCAGAGAAAGATGAGGGAGAAATCATAGGTTTTGCTAAACTCCTCACAGTTGGCAGGGACGACCCACTCCTCCGGTTTGGGGACCCCCTCCTGAGCCTGGCTTGTGCACAGCGGTGGGTAGGGCACGGCGATGTGGTCAGTGCCTGTTCAGTCTCCCCTGACCCGAGTGGGCACGCCCAGCTGCTGCTCCGGCCACATGCCGGAGGCCGTGGTGAGGAAAACTCGTCTCCTGTGTAGACTGGAATTCAGTGCTGGTACAGAGTGTAATTTGGACTCATGTGGACATTGCAGCTCTTGTCAGGCTTGACGGGAACAGGAGGGGCAGGGTCTGGCTGATACCGCATGTCCTGGAAGTGGGGTAAGGCCAGGAGGGGGCACAGGTCCCTGCAGAGTGCTCCATGATCCTCAGGTTACAGGTGGCAGGAGCAGTGCCTGTGAGTGGGTGACAGGAACTAGTGTCATCCCAGGCGAAGGCAGGTTTCTGTTGAGTGGGTTCTGGTGCCTGAGCTCCACGGCTCCTTGCCCCTTCCTTCCCTTCAGTGACACCCCACAGTGCCCCACCCAAACATGCCTCTCAGACACGGGGACTGTATTCCATTCACTGCGGGGGGCGGGGGGGGGGGGGCCACTGTTGGGACAAGAAACAGTAATGTGACGGTGTTAACAAACAACCACCACGCTTTTTTTTTGAATGCACATCTGGGGCAAAGGGGCGGGGGCATCCACCGTAAACCTGAAAGCTCACTGCCCCGGTTAATGGTTCCACAGCAAAGTAAGAACAGGTGAGGTGATACATCTGCTGGACCCAAACCAGAGCGGGTGCTCGGCAGGTGGGAGAGAGTTTGGGGTGACTGATGCAGTTCATGGGCCTGTCTCACCAGCCGAACTTGTGTCCAGAGGTTCTGCATCACAGGCTGGGAGGCAGCTGGAGTTGATCCACTACAAATCTGGGCACAGGGGTCATACGAGCAAGACCATAGCTTTTCCGTGTTGTTACTGGTTCCCATCAGTAGCAACATGGTTCTGGCTGCGTAGATGATGAATAAGGCCAAGTTTCCCACTGGCAGCCCATGGTCTCGAGCATAGAGCTGCTGGCTCCAGTGGGAACCAGGAGGAGGGCGTGCCAGCTCTGCCTGGTGTGGCCTCGGGGACGAGGGGAGGCTGTGAATGGGGGGTTGACAGGTGAGTAGGCTCCAGCTGGTGGGGCTCACTTGAACGACCCTGTCAGGTGACAAGGCAAAAGCACAGGATGCTTTTCCATTGATAATTTCGGTAGGAACCTTTCATGCCAGCCTTTCTTTGTGTATCTTTCGGGTTACAGTGAGTGACTGCGGTATCGTCAGCAAGGGTCTACAAGGTCTGATTCGCTCTTTACACACCCAAGGCTGATGGCAGTGTGCGTGCAGGCCAGGGGCGGGGGTGGAGAAGACAGGTGGTGATGACCAGTCCAACAGGCTGGCCAAGAAGTGCTCATGTCTGCAGCTATGACATGGTAGTAACAGAAGAGGTGGGGCCACTTGGGTATTCAGAGGTGGAATCAAGAGCAAAGGTAACATAAGGTGGAAGGTTCAGGGCTGGGGAAAGACCTCTGGCTTGGGAAGTCAGTTGAGTGGTAGGGCACGTCGTACCAGAGAGGCAGGTGGGTGACAGATTCCAAGGCTGTGATGCAGCCAAGCATGCGTTAT